CTGTGTGCTGAAAAGCCAGGAGCATTTCCATTCTGCCTGCACTGGAGTGTAGTAAATTTGAGTGTCCTGACAACAGGCTGGCCTCTGAGTTATCTTTTGGGTGGTTTCAAAAAACTATGGCACAGGACTAATTAGTCCATCAGCCAAAAATGGTTCAGGGCTATCTGTTTTGGGAGGGCCAGAGGGAGATTTATGAAGGGGATGAATGTTTCCATGCTGGCAGCAGCTCCTCAGCCAGCCACAAGCCCAGTGCTGGATGTGCTGCCTTCTGCACCTCCAATTACCTGGGAGCTCCTGGCTCCCAACTCACCACGTCTGTCAGGCCTTGTGTAACCAGCCCGTGACGTGGGCACTGGCTCTGAGCTGCAAACACAAAGCCAGGCTGCCCCCAGGTCCAGTGCTGGGGACAAAGCAGAGGAGCAGCCTGGGTGAGCCATTTCCTGCAGAAAGAACGAGTGGCTGCTGAACGCCCCTGCCTCGCTGAGGAGCGAAGAGTGGAGGGAAAAGTGCTGGCAGTGGAATGACAGCAGTGTGCTGGTCGTGCCTGTGGTGAGACTGAGATTGCCCCAAGTGCTGGTCCTGTTGGGTGGGGGGTCACTGAAAATGCAAACCTGGCCCCCCTCCTGCCTGCCTGCACCAGCCTGTCTGTGCAGAAACACTTCCACCAGACAGTGCAGGGCAGCCTTGTCTGGGACTGGCTGGTTTGGGGCTGCCCTTCAGCTTCTGGAGGGTTTGGAGTGAGGAGCAGGGCTTTGCATGGATGGAATCTCATGCCCATGGGTGTTTACCATTGCAGGGTAAGGCACAGACCTGTTCTATATGTGGGTTTAGTAGCTGAAGCCTCTAATTTCCTCTGGTTGGCTTTGTTTACTCAGCAGAAGACCTAAAAGCAGCTTTCCTGCTGCTGCAGGGATCTCAGAGACTGGTGATGCCACAGGCAGGGTGCAAGCAGGGAATGCTGAGGCTCATGCACAAAGCTGTCTTGAATAATTTCTCCTCTTGTCCAGAAGAGACAGGGCTGTGCTCCCTCCCTCTGCACGCACGATGCAGTCCAGTGGCAGGAGCTCAGCTGCCCCTTTGCCATCTCCAACCTCCTCCACAGAGTGAGCAGCTCCCAGGATGGCTGCAGCGGGTTTGGAGATGTTTCTGTGGGTTCAGGAGGATTCTGTGCAGGAGAGGTTGTTTTTTCTTTTGTCTCTATGAGTGTGTCGTTGCTTCAATGGCTGGTTTGTGGATACCAGGCTTTAAAATAGAGATGTAGACAAACTGGCAAAAGGCCAGAGGAGAGCAGCACTAATTGTCAGAGCTTTAGAAAACATGACCTCTGAGGAGAGGTTGGAGAAATCAGGTGCATTTAATCTAGACAAGGCAGTATGGGTGGGGGAGGGAGGGGGATGTCATGGTTTCTCAGAACATAAAAGCTGTTGTTAAGGAAGGATGATTGATTTATTCTTTCACTGTCGTGGAGAGGTGGGGGGGGGAATGATGAGACCAAACTACATTTAAACTGCAGAGAAGATTTGGTTTGGATATCTAGGAAAAGCCTTCAGTACAGTGAAATGTGGGAAGGTATTGTTCAGGCAAGCTGTGAAGCTTCTGACACCCTGTTAATGCCTTTGTTCCTGTAGTTCAGACTAAAGGGTAATTTTCAGGCTGATGCCTGTCCCTCAGCACTGCAAACCTGGCTCTGCCAGCAGGGCCAGCTCCACGTGGTCAGGAATGCAGGAACCAGGAGCCTTGAAGCGCTGGCTGCAGCTCATAAAAATGATGTGGCTTCAGTGGCCCAGAAATGGAGCTCTGTTCTCCTGCCCACTGGTTTGGAGTCTCTTGGCTGTGCCTGAGTTGCAGTTGGAGGTCTGAAGGCAGAGGAACCCAAGCTTGCTCAGTGTTGACTTCCTTGGGTAGGAGTGAAGAGGGGATAGCTCAGACCTCAGCTCCGGGCAGCTACCTGAGTAATCACCTCCCTGTTTCACTGAATTTTGTGCTTTTGTCTCAGTGAGCTCAGAACCAGTCTGAGTTCTGGGAGAGATGTCCCAGTCCAGGCTGCCATCACCTCTGGCTGGAGTGCAGGCACACACAGCCTTGGAAACACAGCCTTTCTTCTGCACTTGTGCAGAGTTATTTCTGTTAGCAACGTGACTCCAGGTGCTGGGGTTTGATGCATTATAAAATAAAATGTGAAAGTAATAACTGGTTGCTGGGAAAATATTGCAGATTAGCACAACTTGTTCTCTACCTTGACTGTGTTTATATTTGACAAGTATCACTTGCAAAAAAAGGACAGCTTTTATTATAACTCTTTTGTCTGCTTCTCTTCCAACTTCCTGAGTGCCTTATTCTCAGGCATCAAACTACTTTCAGGACAAAATGTTGGTGAACTCTCCATTGGTGGTGAGAAACAGGGATGTGTGAGGGTGCCATTCACTGCAAAAGTTGCAGAATTTCTCACACTCCCTCACTCGTGATCTTGCCTATAAATCCTTCCCAGGCAGAAGCTTTTTCTTTAAGGGGAGGAAGTCTAGTTCTTTGTAGCCACTGGCAAGGCACAGACAAAAGCATGGGCCTTTAATATCAGGTTTACTTCTTTTGCCCTGTCTCAGATCCACAAATGCAGAGTTCTGTCTCTTCTGGACAAATCTACAGATGACGTTATCCCATACTTGAAATACCCTACTTTTGTATCCCTCTTGCCTGAAGCTATTAACGTTGGCAGAATTGATGTCCTTTGTTTATTTTTCTGTACTACTTAAAGTCTGAATGTTGGGCACCAGCTGGCCTGGTTTTCCATTGGGCTGCACTGAGAGTCAGGACATATTTTAGTGCTGGCTGTGTCCACGCTCCTGAATGCCTGTCCTGAGCAGACTGGGAGCCAGCAGGGCTGGAGAAGAGAAATGGTTGCCTGGCATCAAGATGAAGTAGGTGCAGTAAAGGCAGGGCTTGCATTTGATTGTTTGTAGGACAGTCTCACAGGAGCCCATGGGCTGCACACCCCAGGGCTCGCAGGTGGGCAGTGGAGCCTCCCAAATCCTCTGATAGATGGGATGTGGAGGAGCTGGCAGTGCCAAGAGGAGCCCTGCTGACTCTGCAGGGAGCTGATCCCTGCAGCCCAGAGCTGCTCCTGGAGCTGGGAGAGGGGAGCTCTGGAGCTCGTCCCTGGCTCTGAGTCACTGCATGACCCGGGGCACTCCGATACCACGGTGATGAGCACAGCACAACTGTCTGCATGGATAGAATGGGCTGCACAGGCCCTGGGTTTGACAGATATTTGTGTGTCCCCAGTGCCCCCCTGCTCTACCCACCCAGCCTGCTCTCAGCCCTGTTGGTGCTGGGGAAGGAGGGATGCACAGTGACACCAGCACTGGTGGGGCTGGGCTGGAGGCCAAGCAGGCAGTGGGGCACTCTTGGAGGGAGCAGCCCTGCATGGCAGAAAGGCTCTGGAATGGGAATGTGGCCTCTGCCAGGCTCTGCTGCAGCCCTGTGCGTGGCCCTGACTCTCCTCCTGTAACTAATTAGCCTGCAAGATCCTCAGGGCAGCGCTGGCTTCCTCCTCCTGCTATGGCTTCTATCATAAGGCCCTGATTTCAGGGGAAAAAAAAAAAAGACAAACTATCAAAGTGAGACTTCCTTAAAAGCTTTGCTGTGCCTGTGTCAGCCTCTGGCACTGAGAGGCTGCGGGAGGATCGTGTCTCCCTGGCGTGACTGTTGGTTATTTTCCCACCTGGCTCCCTTGTGAAGGATGAAGGCACAAGCACAGCTAAGATGTGACTGTGGTGGGATCTTCAGAGGCTCCACGAGGTCTCCTGAGCACCCCAGCCTCGGGCACCCTGTCAGGCAGCCTGGGGTGCTGCAGCCTGCGCTGCCTCTTTAAGGAGATTTGCATAGCAGGGCCTAATTACAGTGGTTGATTCTGATGTTTTCAGTGTTGTTCATATTCCATTAAAGGATAATGCTGCTTAATTTGCAGCAGAGGGTCTCGGTGAACAGCACACCCAATCACAAGGCACCCCTAATGACACTGCTTCCCTACTTCTGGTAACACATAATTAAAAAATCACTCCATTTCCAGTTGTGTGGTTCTCCCCTCTCCCCCAATCTCCTAATTACTTTCTAAGCCATTTCATGATTATCTGTAAATATTTCAGCACTTAGATCTACTAATGAGGGCATGGAAGAGTTAATACCTTGAGTGGCACAACTGCTTGCCTTTCCCTTTCTAGTGATGCATTGCAAGGGATCATTTTCCACTTTGCATTGTGTGGGAAAGGGGCTTTTCTTGGGGGGGGATTGGGTTTGTGCTCTGTCTTTGGGGTCGTGGGCCTGAGCAGGTGAGGGGTAACATGCAAAAACCCATTTCCAGCTGCAGGAGGGTTTTTGCTGGGTTTGGTAGTGGGTGTGTACCTTGTTGTAAATTGTTTTACATGGCTTAAACCCCACAGTAAGGACTGTCCTGTTCTCTAATCCGAGCTCTGCTCTGAAAAGCCACCTTACAAACGCTGCTTTTTCACTTCATGGATCTGTTTCCTGTACTTGTCTGGTGCCTTGGGTATTAAAACTCACTTGGGACTTTCAGACTGAGTGCTCAGAGCCAGCAGAGTGATGGAGGAGTGAGCTGGAGCATGTTTCCTGCCTGTGGCTTACATGGCCTTGGGTGCTGAGTTCTGTGTATGGTCAATCAGGACCACCTTGTGTGAGCCCACTAGGAGCCTGCTGATGGTCTCTGAAGGGATTACTTGGAATAACCAGAGATAATTGTGTTGCTAGGGGGTAATTAACTTCCAGAATTAAAAAAAAAATCAAGCTTAGGCTGCACTACTCCTTGGGGTGAGTCTGTAAGTCTGGGAGTGAGAGAAATCAAATCACTTGAGCACATTCAATTCCATGACACTTAGGGAATGTGGGGCTGCTTAAAATCAAATCCATTCATTTCTAGGCAATTCTTATATTGCAGATAAGAGAGGAAGACTTGAATGTGGTCCTAACCCAGCCTATTTGTGTTTCAGGTAACCCTGTCACAGTGGGAATGAGCATCCACATCTCCAGCATTGACCAGATCTCTGAAGTCAACATGGTAAGTTTGAAAAGAAAGAGAAAGGGGGAAAAATTAATAAAGGGAAAAAAACCCCAGCTATAAACTGTTCTTCCATTTTCTGGCTGAGATTTCCTTCCAAGGCAATGGTTTCTTGGAGGTATCTGCATCTCTGCTGGCACCTCTGGAGCTTGTGCCATCTCATCTCACCCAGAGTAGATTCTTATCCTTTCTATGCTGGTGGCAGAGGCACCTCCCCAAGTCAGAAAAGCTTATGCCTTAAAAAAGCAGATGTGAATCGTATTTTTTTGGTTGATACAAAGGTGGCTTTATGGTCAGTCTGTCCCTACCAAGTTAAAAACAGTGAATTTTCATTTGCTGGTGGTAATTTAACATTTCCTCGGGGATCTGTGCTGGAAAGAGAGGCTCCGAATGAAAATCTGGTTTTGGGTGGCATTGATAGATTGGAGCTTTTTCTACCGCTGTGAACAACAACAAAAAAATTATCTGCTCAAGCAGCAATAGTTCGTGGTGAAATCTGTGAAATTTGTTGATTACTTTGTTCATGGTTTAGGTTCACATCCAGGAGCGTCCCTCAGGAGTCCTCAGCACCCAGCAGAGCACATAGATTGTGTTGTAATTGCCTAAACTTGCCTTTCTCCCTCCTGTCCAGGGGCTTTTCCTCCAGACTCTGCTCCTTTGCAGAGGCTGAGTGGAGGGGAGGCTGGTGGGAGCCTCCTGGCAGCTCCTGTCCAGTTCCTCCCTTCCTGGCCCGTGCAGGAGCATCCTGGGCCAGTTTAGACTCTTGCAGTTCAGGTCGATTAAAATCTTGCTCTGCCCCTGCTCCTGTCCCATTTCCCTGTCTCTGGCCTCTCCTGCCCTGTTTCCCTGGCCCTCCAGCTCTTCTGAGGAGGGAGGTGGCACAGCCTGACCAGTTGGGTTTGTTCCCAAGCTGCCTGAAAAGCCTGGATTCATCTTGGAATGACCCAGGGGGAAGAGCCAGCCATGAACCTTCATGCTGCTGAGTGAAAGCTCCTTTTGCTGACTCTGCTACCATCCCACCTCACCTGAACTCTCTGCATCACCTGTGGCACCTCACTCCAGTGACAGCGACACTGGGCCCTGGGTGTGGCCCTAGATTTGGGTTCAGAGGCACTGGGTAGCTGTGCTTGAATGGTTGTTTAGGCTCAGCTTAGCAGGGCCACATGGTTTAACCCAGTTCCATCTCTCTTGCCTGTCAGGCCACAACCCAGCTTTGAGACATCTCCTCCCCCAGGCTCAGCTTGGACCTGGGTGTTCTGGAGCAAATGTGACCCTCCTGCTAGAGCCAGGATGGACAGTTTGGGCTCTGCACTTGTGCCTCAAGACCAAGATTTGCACAAACATAACTGGCAGGGGGTGAGGGGTTGGTTCTCAGCTGTAGCCACGGCCTCTGTGAGGCTGAGCAGCTCTGTCCCAGCACAGCAAGGACAGGGACCTGCTGGAACCAGCCCAGAGGAGGCACCAGGATGATCAGAGGGATGGAGCAGCTCTGCTGGGAGAGATGGGATTGCTCAGCCTGGAAAAAAAAACAGCTTAGGGGTGGCCTTCCAATACCTGAAGGGAGACCACAAGAAAGGTGGAGAGAAACTTTTACAAGGGCTGGAGTGACAGGACAAGGGAGAATGGATTCAGACTAAGGGAGTAGGGTCATGTTGGATCTTAGGAAAAAATTCTTACTCATGAGGGTGGGCAGGCCCTGGCACAGGGTGCCCAGACAAGCTGCCCATGGATCCCTGGCAGTGCCCAAGGCCAGGCTGGATGGGGACTGGAGCAGCCTGGGACAGTGGGAGCTGTCCCTGCCATGGCAGGGGGTGGAACAAGGTGATCTTTAAGGTCCTTTGCAATCCAACCATTCTGTGAAGGCAGCTGAGCCCTGCAGAGGCTGGTGCAGGATGAACCTCCTGCTGGGGAGGTGTCCATGGGCCACAGGGGCTGATCAAGTGCTTGTCCAGCAGGTGGGAGCAGCTGTGGCCAGGCACACTGTACCCATTGTCCCAGCAGCACTTTCCAACCTTTGCCATGTGAGCGTGGTGCTCTCCCCTCTGCTGGGAGCCCCTGCTCCCCTCTGCCACACAACTGGGGAGAAACAGTCATAATAATAACAGTAATAATCTCTGTGATGCACAGATTTCCTGGCACAGACCTTCCTGCTGCAGAAAGCACAGTGATGGACACTGAGTCCTTTGAGGGTGGTGGCATGGCTGTGGTCAGGCTGGGCACCACTGCCCATGCCACACTCCTGTGCATGTGAAGGAATGTCACTTCTAGGCTTTTGATTATCCCTCCTGGCTCTCTGTTTGGCAAGAAAAATGTCCTGCTGATCTTCCCTATATAGATTGGGGCAGGGGGAGAGGGTATGGAAAGGTTGGGGATGGGAGATGAGATGGCTGCAGGTGAGAATTTATTCAGGATCAAGATCTCTGAGCACCGTGGTGAGGCAGCTTCATAAAGGGGTTAAAAATCAGAATCATCTTAAAGAACAAACATTTAGGGAGCAGAAGAGTTCTCATGTGATGTAAGTTTCCAGGCTGAAGGGGTTTTATGTGCATCATTCTTCTGTGTGACAGATGCCCCGGGGAAAGGGCTGTGTTTTACCCCTGCTCTGGACATGGATACTGGCAAGAAAAACAAGGCATTTTTTTGGCATCATGTGTGCTTGGGAAAGGAACTGTGCAATGAATAAATTAAAGGCACACAAGTGAAGCTGGGTTGTCACGGCGACCAAATAGCTTCTATTGTTCCACAAGGAGTGTTATTACTTACTACCCCTTGTAGGATAATTAATTAATCCTCAGACATCCTTTTGGGAACAATGGCCCTGGTGCTGGGACTGGGCAGGCTGAGGAGAGCCCCCGGCTCTCCCAGGCCTTTCCCTGGGACTCCTGGCGCCTGCTGGCTGCCTGCTGGTGGGGAACAAGTGCTGTCAGTGACCAGACCCTGCATGCTTCCCAAAGCTGCTTTCCACAGGAGCCCAGCTGGCTGCGGAGCTGTGGAGCAATCCAGCTCCATCCACGAGCACTCCTTGCCCTCACTCCCACGGGAGCCGTGTTCCCAAAATGAAGACGTGGTGACATCCCTGTCCTGGAGGACACAGGGTTCCCTGAGAAGGCAGCACAGTGATGTCCCTCAGCTGGATGTTCCCAGACACTGTGACACACAGAACGCCCTGCAGCTGCCTGTAGGTGCCATGAGTGTTCTGACACCCAAAGCTGGTGCACCTCCAGCTCCCCGAGGGCCATTCCCAGATCCTGTGCCATGCCAGGCTGCAGGGCGTTCACAGGCACAGTGACAACCTTCTCCCAGTCATGAGAGACCAAAACTGCAGCCCTTATTTTAAAAAGTGTGCCTTCCTGGATCATGGCAGCTGCTGCCTGTGTGTGGTCAGCCACAGGTGCAAGCTCACTTTCTGGAGTGCTCCTTTCTTGCTGTGTACCCCCCTCAGCATGGCTAAGCAAAGCTGGGCTGCAGCCTCTCTTCTTGTCAGTGATTAGAAGGATTATTTGCTGAGCCAAGATCAGTGACATCAATTGAAATGTCTGGGGAAGGATGCCAGGGGCCAGGCCAAATAGGTATTGGGGAGGGCACATTTGAGTGGCAGACCCTCTGGGAAGTGCTGATCCATGAAGATGAAAGGCCTCACCGGAGGCTTTTCATCTCCTGTACACGTTTGCAAGTCGGGGATTTGAAGGCAGGCTGAGAGGAGGAATGTCTTCCTGCTGCTGTTGAGTAGCTCAGGTGAGCCATGAAGGACAGAGGGATGGTGGCTCCTGGAGAACTCACCCAGCCCAACTCCTTTGAGGTGACCTGGGACTGAGTTGCACTGAGCAGGATGATGCCTGAGATGGCTACTTAGAGCAGAGGCCAGAGAGAGTTAAAATAAAAAAGTGGGTATTTATTAAAGCCTTTAACAGGCACACCTTGGGCAGGGCAGGAGCCTGGCAGAGGCTACACCCAAGGTGGTCATGAGTTCTTTGGGCTGATATAAGTTTGGTCTATTTGCATATCAGAGGTTCATCCTCCAGTTACAGCTTCAGGGGATGAAGTCACATTGCCTCAGTTTGCTTCCCCCTAATTTGCTTTTGTTTGTTCTTTTTGGGGCTGTGATGGTGAGCTTGGCTCTCAGGCCTGGAAGGATTGTTCTGTCTGACCAAACCAAAGAGAGCTTGCTAACACTCTGTATGGAGTGCAGAGCTTCACACAATGCAGCACAGGATCTGAAAAATAGAAAAGCTAAGGCTTAAGGCATCAAGGGAACAGTCTTTAGGTGTTTATGGACTCTTGTTGGTGTGCAGTGGCTCTGGGGCAGTGGCACTTTGAGGTCTCTTGGTGTGGTGCCAGGTTACTGAGGAGCCCAGCAGCATTTCTGAGCTGGGCAATGAGGAGCTCTGGCAGTGTGGAGTTCGTGTCACACTCAGCTGGAGCAGGCTGGGGGTGTCTGTCCTTGTGCTTCATGGCCTGAATGCTGCCCAGACTCACTCACCAAGGGTCTGGTTCTGGGGTGCAGTTCTGATGGTGTCCAGCACCCATGGCTTCAGAAGGAGCTGCAAGTCTTCCCCCACTGCTGGATGCCCTTCCATCCAGCTGAGGACTGGCCTGCTCAGGGTGTGCTGTATATTCCTGCATGGTGGGACTAGACAAGGACTAATCCTTCCAAAGCAGCCTTTTCCCTCTCCAGGCAATCTCTGGGGATGTATTTTTCTAGCACCAGACAGTTCAGACTCTCTTGAAGTATTAATGAACTATTTCAATAAGGAAAACTACCAGAAGTTTTGTATGCATTTGAAATAAGAGGAGGTTACCCTTCATAAGGCTTCAATTTTCCTGCCCTATGATCTGTGCAGTCCTAAACCTGTTCCCTCCTGTGTCTGCACACCGTAGACAGCTCGGAGCATCCAGCCATTATAGTCATGATTTCTTTGTGCCTCCTATAATTTATTCATCCCAAGATGCTCTCCTACATCTGCAATAACATCATTTCAGTTTGTTATAGCACCGGCTTT